TGAGAATTTACATTTAAGATCAACTTTGTATTCAACAGTTTATTTTTATTTTTTAATCGTTTTATTAGGGGCTCATACAACTCTTATCACAATCCATACATACATCAATTGTGTACAGCAAATTTGTACATTCATTGCCCTCATCATTCTCAAAACATTTGCTCTCCACCTAAGCCCCTGGCATCAGGTCCTCATTTTTCCCCTCCCTCCACGCTGCCCCCTCCCTCATGAACCCTTGATAATTTATAAATGATTATTTTGTCATATCTTGCCCTGTCCGACAGATTAAACTACTAATCAACCCCCACGGTAATTTACCCTTCATCTGCACTCAGTGATTTCTCTTCTTCTTGAGGACGTCTATCGTCTATTTTACCCAACGTTGACACCGGTCAACAGTCTAGCCCAGGAGTCAACAAACTTGAGATGGGAGAGTCAGTCCTGTCCCTTATAACAATCTAAACATTATTTGAGAGCCATAAATATGTTTTTACAACAAATGAAATCACTATTATCTGAATATTACCCTTTAAGTGAAACAACGATGGCTTCATTTTCAGTTGTACTTCAGAGCCACAGGTACACACTGAGAGAGCCCCATATGGCTCTCGAGCCACAGTGTGCTATTACAGTGGTTGCATACTATTTGTCCTTTTTGTGGTCGCCTGCTTTCCTACTCAGCATCATGACCTCCAGGACCATTCATGTCATGAGGTACATCATGGCTTCATGATGGTTTTTAGGGATACATAGTATTCCATTGTGTGTATGTACGAGAGTTTCTTTATCCATTCTTCTTCTGATGGGCATTTACATTGTTTCCATCTTGTTGCTGTTGTGAACTTGGACGTACCTCTGTCTCCCCTTGTTATGATTCCTGCTTCTTTAGGATATATACCCAGTACAGGAATTACTGGGGCATATGGAATCTGTATTCCTAGTTGTTGGAGGTAGCACCCCATCACTTTCCACACTGTTTGCACCCTAGGAGTATGTGAGCATTTCCAACCCCTCTGCAGCCTCTCCCGCATTTGTTTTCTCTGTTTTAAAAAACTCTCTCTGAAGCCGCTCCTGCATTAGTTATTCTCTCTCTCTCTCTCTCTCTCTCTCTCTCTCTTTTTACTTGACTCTCATTGTCGATTTAAAGTGTTAGGCATCTCATTGTTGTTTTGATTTGCATCTCCCGGATGGCTAAGTGATACCATTTCTTCTTATGTTTATTGGTCATTTGGTGAATTGTCTGTTCATATCCTTTGCTCACTTTTTAATTGGGTTATTTATCTTTTCCATATTGATGTGTTACAGTTTTCAATAGATTTTAGAATCAGTCCCTTGTCTGTTGTGTTGTCAATTTTTTTTCCTGCTCTGTGGGTTCTCTGCACCACTGATGAAGTTCATTGGTGCACATAAGGGTCTTATTTTCAGCAGTTCGACTCACCTATTTTGTCTTCCATAGTGTGTGTTTCCTTCGTTATGTTTGATCATGTGTTTCTGTCCTGCAACAGAACCTTTAAGTTTGCCCCTAGTTTTCGCATCGACGATCTTTATATTGCCAGGCTTTACATTCAAGTCTTTGATATATCTTGAAATAGCTTTTGTATATGAGGTGAGATATGACTCTTGTCTCATTCTTCAGCCGATGGTGATTCAATTTTGCCAGGGCCATTTGAGGAAGAGACTAATTTCTTTCTCATTTAATGTTTTTTAGCCCTTTGTCAAAGATCAGTTATTTGCAGGTGAATGAATTTATTTCTGGAATTTATATTCTGTTCCATTAGATTATGTACTTATCATTGTATCAATACCAGTCTGTTTTAACAACTTTGGCTGTGAAATAACTTTTGAGGTCAGGATGTGAGAGACTTTCTACATCATTCTTCTTCTCAAGAAGTTCTTCAGGTAAATAATTTTTCTATTTATTTAAAGAATGGAGTTGGGATCTGGATCAGAATTATATAATATTTATAGAGTGCTTTGGGCAATGTTGACATTTTCACAGCATTATGTCTTCCTATCCGTGAACATGGAATATTCTTCTATTTATTTATATAGGTCTCTTTTGTTTTCTTGTAATAGTGTTCTGAGATAAACAATCTGGAGGAGAAGACAATAGGATTAATGGTTCTGGGGGGACATGGGAGAGGGGGAGGCAGGGGAAAGGAAGTGGGTGTTAACAAACACAGGGACAAGGGAACAACAAGTGAATAAAAATCTATGGTGAGGAGGGTTTAGGAGGCCTGGTAGGGCTTGATCAAGGGCAATGTAACCGAGAGGAATTACTGAAACCCAAATGAAGGCTGAACATGATAGTGGGACAACAGGAAGGTAAAAGGAAGTGGAGGAAAGAACTAGGAGGCAAAGGGCATTTATAGAGGTCTAAATACAGGCATATACATGTGTAAATATATTTTTATATGACAACAGGGAAATAGATATTTCTATGTGCATATATTTATAGGTTTAGTTTTTTGTTTTGTTTTTTAGGTTTAGTATTAAGGTAGCAGATGGACATTGGGCCTCTACTCAAGTACTCCCTCAATGTAGGAACACTTTGTTCTATTAAAGTGGCATTCCATGATGCTCACCTTCTCGACTTGATCACCGAAGACAAAATGGGTGCTGATGATGCCCGGCTATCAAAAGAGATAGTGTCTGGGGTCTTAATGGCTTGAAGATAAACAAGCAGCCATCTAGTTCAGAAGCAGCAAAGCCCACATAGTAGAAGCACACCAGCCTGTGTGATCATGAGGTGCCGATGGGATCAGGTATCAAAGAGCAAAAAATCATATCATTGTGAATGAGGGGGAGCCCCAAAGCCAATCTGTAGGCAACTGGACATCCCCTTACAGAAGGGTCACAGGGAGGAGACGAGCCAGTCAGTGTGCAGTTTAGTACCTATGAAACATACAATTTTCCTCTAGTTCTTTAATGCTTACTCTCCCACCAACTATCATGGTCCCAATAATGCCTTACAAATCCGGCTAGACCAGAGGATTTACACTGGTACAGATGAGAGGTGGAAACACAGGAAGTCCAGGACAGATAAACCCCTAACGACCTATAATGAGAGTAGTAATACCAGGAGGGTAAGGGAAGGTGGGGAAAACCGATCACAATGATCTACATATAACCCCCTCCTTTGGGGACGGACAGCAGAAAAGTGGGTGAAGGGAGACATCGGACAGTGTAAGACCTGAAAAATTTATAAATTATTTATAAATTATCAAAGGTTTGTGAGGGAGGGAAAAAATGAGGAGCTGATAACAAAGGCTCAAGTAGAAAGCAAATGTTTTGAGAATGTTGATGGCAACAAATGTACAAATGTGCTTGACACGATGCATATATGTATGGATTGTGGTAAGCATTGTATGAGCCCCCAATAAAATGATTTACAAAAAATAGTGTTCTGAACCCTGTTGATTCTTAAATTTACAAAATCCACTAAATAAAAGGACAGAAAAGGCTGGGATTTTCAAACTGAGCTCTGTCCACATGAAAGAAAGAAACAGATGGGATAGAAATAACACTACGATAGAGAAATTGTCGGTGATTTTTTTTTTCTATAGGAGTATTGCCTATTTGATAAGAAAAGTTAAAAAGATCAGTGATTAAAAAGTAAGGGAAGTCTGCTCCTAGTTATAATAGCAACTTGTACCGTTAATATGAAAAACTGACTGACAGTTCACTGATTTTTATCTTGTTATTTAAAGCGGTGTTCTTTTTCTACAAGCTCTGTAGTGCATTCTTGAGTGGTCCATAACCCCGAAGTATGAGCATCTCCTGGGAGATGGATAGAAATGCAGTCTCAGGATCCACCCTGGTCATATTTATCAGTCTACATATTTAACAGGTGGCTTGGGTGAGTCACAGATACACTAAGAGCTAAGAAGCGCAACGTTTAGAAGAATATGGTTTAAAATTTGTACTTATTTTCTAAATGACTTAAAGTATGTTTCTGTTGTGCACTGCCATAGCCGGGCCTTTTGAAATCTCTTAAACGAAGTATATATTTTCTCCTGTGTTTAACTGACTTACTGGAAATCATATGCTTTCAGGAAGTTGATCATCAGGTTTCTTGTACTTTTGTTCCTATAGTAGAATGTGCTGTACTAGACTTAGTGGTTTGCTTACAGGTAGGCTGCAGGAACTAATATTAGAATTTACACCTAGATTGTTTAAAAAAAGAATAGTATACTAAGGTTTAGAGGTTAAACTTTTAGCTACTTTGAACAATACGATAGGAGATAGCGATCTAAGAATGTGTTTTAAAATAACATTTGATTTTTTTGGTCAACTAATTTATTTTAAAATTTATTTTTGTTGTTTTTGAGGTTATACAGACAGCAGAACATTATACAATCAACTGCTTGAATTTTGACTTTAGAATAAGATTAAGCTTGTAGCTTAGTTTGCAAATCTCTTCTTTTTCAATGCCAATTGAAGATCAGGTAATGTTTTGTATTTTGAAACTTAGCTGGGTGAATTATTTCATCTTTGTGATTTGTGAATTCCTAGACTTTATAGAGGACAGCCGTGGTTTTATGATTTGGAGGTTATAAATTATAACGGTGTATTTTTTCATCCTAACAGACTGGCTTGTATTTTGGCATAAATAAAGAGTAAAATTAAAGTTCGGTATGGCTATAAAAGATTGAAACTTTTCATGTGTGACTATGTAAAGCACTCTTCGTCTTATAATTAGTGTTTATTGTAGTAACTTTAGGCTCATAAGTACAAATTATTGAGCTAACTCGTTGGGTATGAAATTTATAGTTCAGCTGATGAAATAGGTCATGTGACTGCTGTATGCCTCGTAACAATCTACTACCAATGGCTTTGGTCATGTAATGCAGTTATTTCTCAGAGTTTGTTCCATCACTTATAAAATAAGGAGGTTGAAATTTGTTCTCCAAAATTTCTTCCAGCTTTAATATGAAAGTGGTACTAAATATAATTATATGACAATGAGTCTGATAAATATAATTTTTCTTTTATTGTAGGAAATAATGGAATTTTCCTTGGGGAATAGGTAAGTATTTTTCATAAATTAAAATATAAAAAGCTTCCCCTTCCTCCTCGAAGATTGAAAGTAATACAAAACTTTTTCAACTAGTATAACCTAAAGCTTGTACTAGAAGTTTGTATCATTGAACATTTCTTCTACTTCATATTTACCAATTTCGAAGCTTACTAATCATTATGGAAGTTTCTGTTTTGGTCATCTCTTTATTCAGTAGGAGCAATGGAGAATTTCTTCTCCATAATCTAGGGTGTCTCTGAAAAGGATCTTCCTGTTTTCCCAAATAGCTTTTCCTGGTAGATAATGCTATTGTGGTAGATAATACTGTGGAAAGATAACTTGAGAAATTGTTTCTTAGGGTAAGGATGATTTGCTCAAAACTTGTCTTTCTCTTTAATTGTGGTGTTGTTAATTCCCGACTCTTAGTTTAATAAAACCTTAACATATTGGTGGTGTTTTACAAATTACATTGCAACTCCAGGACTATAAGGACATTACTTAATGGGCCAGATGAGATCAAGACCAAAAAATGCATGCCAGCAAGTGATGGGAATTTAGATACTGTTCTGTGATCATTATTATTTAGGTACTGTTCTTAAGCAGGAGAGCAATGAAGCTTCCCTAAGACATTTGGACATAACTTGTGAGGGAAGACTGGCCGGCTTTTCCTGTCGACTTCTTGGTAATAGTGGCTTTCAGCTCTTGTTCTCCGGTGACTGATGCAGTGATCATGATAAACAGGAGCACAGACTCTCTGTTACGCACATCTCAAACAAACCAAAAGCAAACATTGACTAACATTGAGCTGATGCCGACTCATCGCGACTGACCCTGTAGGACAGGGTTTAACTGCCCCAGTGAGTTTCCAAGACTGTACCTCTTTCCTGGAGTAGAAAGCCTGGTCTTTCTCCTGAGGAGCTGGCTGATGGTTTCTAACTGCAGACCGTGTCCAGTGCATAAACCCTACGTTCCTTGCTATGCCCACTAGTTCTTTACTCCTATTTATCAACCCCCAGGCCCTATTCGCAGGCCAGTCAAGTCAAGTTCAACTCAAAGTGACCCCACAGGTAGAGTAGACCTGCCCCATAAGGATCCTAAGGGGTTATAAATCTTCTGGGAGCACACTGTGTCCCACAGAGGGGCTGGTAAGTTCCCAGTGAGCAACTGAGTTCTTTGATCACTACCCCACCAGATCTCCTTATCTAGAAATATAGAACAAAAACCTTGAGTAACTCAATTTAATATCGAAATTCTGCCTAAGTGTTTGTTCTGAATATATTTTCTATGGTATTTTGGATTGTTTCCTCCACAAGTTAGAATATCTTTTTTTAAAATCTATAAGTTAAAAAAATGTATAGACCGTATATACTCGAGTATAAGCCGAGTTTTTCAGCACATTTTTAATGCTGTTTTTGTGGTAAAATGAGGTACCTCGGCTGATAATCGGGTTGGCTTATACTAGAGTATATGCGGTATACAAACACTAGTATGTTTGGTCAAATTGAAAGATTGTGAGATTCTTTGTTCTCCAGTGACTTTGTGAATCCCTGAATTGTAGTTCAAAAACATTTAACCTTAGACTTTGAAAACCATTAGAAAACATGAAAAGCACTCATGAGACAATGCTAAGCAAAAATATCATTTTAAAAGCGAAAGTTGGGTTGTATATCTATTGTATAAATGTATTAATATATACAGTATATGGAGTCCTCCCCTGGCCCTTTTGCCCCTATTTAATAATTTAGCAATGGTATCAAGAGCCTTAATTTTTCATATATATTTTTGTATTCACTGATACTATATTTCTGGGAAGTTTTTCCTAAGGAAATATTCAGATATAGTAGAAAAACCTCAAATGTATTGATTTTACTATGATTTATGAGACGGTAAGACTGGAATGAACTTAAACATCATATAACTTGGAACTGATGGTAACATCCAAAAAACCATATTGCACATTTATTTTTTTAATTTTTATTTTAAAAATTATTTTATTGGGGGCTCGTACAATTCTTATCACAATCCATACATACATTCATTGTATCAAGCACATATGTACATTTGTTGCCCTCATCATTCTCAAAACATTTGCCTTCTACTTTAGCCCTTAATATCAGTTGCT